AGATTTCAATTTCAGATTTTTCATTGAAATGTCTAAGCTCTTCTTTATGACCTATAAAATAACACTCAAAAATGAGCAACCAGCTTTGCATTAAAGGGAAAAGGAATCAATGATTAAAGGTCCCCATTCTTAACTAATTCCTAATTTTGATGGTCTCTTGCTGACAATCAGAGGGCCACAGTTTTGCATTAAGAGTGTCAGGCGTCTAAGATAGGAGAGGAGAATATATTTTAGTTAATTGTCATCCTTAGTTAATTACTTTGTAAAGAATATGCGAAGAATGCCACTTCCTTTTCCTCATTCTACCAAGAGATACATCTGAGTTGGGCAAATACCAATTTATATACCTGGACTCTTATGTGCATGCATTACATGTACAGGAAGGTGGCCCGCATTCAGTTTCTCTGCTTTTGGTTCCAGCTGACTTGAAAAATACAGTAACACTTTGAAAGGAGGCAGTTACATGGAACATGTGTAACAGATATAATGAAAAATGTGGGTGTGATCTTTAATTGGGTTGGCATCTCATGGTTGAGCAACTGGGAAAATGACAGAGGAGTCTTGGTGTCCTGGGAACCACTTGAATTCTCTAAAGCTTAAAAAAAAAGTACATCTATCTTATAGTTTACAGCTGTGAGATATGTCTATCTCATGGTTTAAAGTTCTAAGAACCATGTAGTTCCTTAGTTTCCAAATTCTTAGAGGATACACAACTAGGCACAATACGTATTTTTAAAAACTATGCTATTTCTAAAATTAAAACACAACAAAAAAAATGATAAATGAGTGCTCCACCACAAAGTAATTCTCCAATATACATAGTGGCATAATCAAATCAAATCAATATATTCTAAGCAAAAGCCTACCGGATCAGTGTGTTCCCAATCTGGTGCCGTATTTCATTCCACTCTTCTTTGCTCTTTCGAGGCCAAGAATTCAAGTTCAAATCTGGTTCACTGGGTTTGTGGTTCAATTTCATTGCCAGTGTGTCTTTCCTCTTGACTTTGTTGGCCAGAGCACCTTTGTACAAGGGAAAGAAAAAAACGTAGAAGCTTAAGGCTCAACTCACCTGGAGTCAGGCGTGTCTGAACAAGTCATAGCGTATCTCCAGCTTCCTACGTGGCCTGCAATCACCAGCTAACACAGAGGTGAGGGTGAAGCTAAAGACATCTACAAATCTTCTCAGCCGATGGACTCATCTAAAGATATCTTCTCCCAGGGCCAGCCGAGTGGCTCAGTTGGTTAAGAGCTCGCTCAAGAGTTTGAGCTCTG